TTCCTTCCTTCCTTCCTTCCTTCCTTCCTTCCTTCCTTCCTTCCTTCCTTCCTTCCCTCCCTCTTTCCTTCCCTTTTCCCCTTTTTCCCACTCTTTCATCCCTCCCTCTTCTTCCTCCCACCATCCCTCTCTTTGTCCCTCCCTCCTTCCTTCTCTCTCCCCCTCCCTCCTCCTTCCTTATTTCTCTCTCCTTCCTCTTCCTCCTTTCCTTCCTCTTTCTTTTTCTTGCCCTCTCCCCTTCCCTATTTCCCCCTCCTTCTTCTCCCTCCCTCCCTCCTTCCCTTTCTCTCCCTCTCCCTCCTTTCCTTTCCTTCCTCTCTTCCCTCCCTCTTTCTCCTCCTCTCCCATTTCATTCCTCCCTCCCACTTCTTCCTTCCACCCTCCCTCCCTTCCACTCCTTCCCTTCTTCTCTCTTTCCTCCCTCTTTTTCTTCTTCCTTCCACCCTCCCCCCTTCCACTCTTTCTCCCCTTCTTCTCCCCCTCCTTCCTCTTCCTCCTTCCCTCCCTCCTTAGAAGAAGTAGGCGCACTCTGAAAAATGGCTACTTTTGCCCCCCATCCCCTTGGAGTGATTCTGTATTTCCAAAGCCAGGACAGGTGAGATTTGACCAGGTTAAAACCTTTGCGGTTGTGGCTCAGAGGAACAAACTTCCTACAAACCATGACTGCAAATCTGGGTTAAAATGCTCCCCGTCGCTCTTAATTTAAGCCACTTCCCCAAGGCCACATGAACCAGGTGAATAGGAACAGCAGAACTATCAATTTAAACTAGACCCCAAAGATTAATTCTGGACAGTCTTGTTATTAATTCAGAATGTCGGACAAATTTTTCTGCAACAAGTCAAACGTCCAAGCAACCCAACGCTGGGCAGCTTAAACCCCTTTTCTGAAATCTAAAAATGGTTGTGGCTGCTTTGTATTCTTCGGTTTCTCCATTTTCCCCCTTTGGGCATGTGCAACAGGGACCTTCTTCAGTCACGGTCACGGTCTTCGTTTTAACTTTTTTGACCCCTGTCCAGACATCCGCCTGTTTCTAAGGTCCTCCTTAATCTCACCCATGACCAGCTGTGTCCCTGCCACCATGGCTGAGCACGACTTACCTGCACATGATCTCATGAGTTAACAACACGCGACACATCTCTGGGTTCTTATCTTGACCTTCGTAGATGATGGCCTGCAATCCAAGAGGGGACACAACATTAGGAAGGGCCCGGATAGTTGCAGACCTGCTGCAGAATTTTGTCTTTCCTTTCTTCCCTCCCTCCCTTCCTCATTATCTCCCTTTTCCTTCTTTCCTTCCTTCCTTCCTTCCTTCCTTCCTTCCTTCCTTCCTTCCTTCCTTCCTTCCTTCCTTCCTTCCTCCCTCCCTCCCTCCCTCCCTCTTTCTCTCCCTCCTTCCCTTCTCTTCCATGTCTCCCTCATTCTTTTCCTTCCTTCCTTCCTTCCATCCAAATTTTGTCTTTCCTTTCTTCCCTCCCTCCCTTCTTCATTTCTCCCTTTTCCTTCCTTCCTTCCTTCCCTCTTCCATTCCTCCCTCATTTTTTCTTCCTTCCTTCCTTCCTTCCTTCCTTCCTTCCTTCCTTCCTTCCTTCCTTCCCCCCTTCTCTTCCAGTCCTCCCTCATTCTTTTCCTTCCTTCCATCCAGGTTGCTTCTTTTCCTTGGTTAGTTTCCATCCATTGCTTCTTGATTTGCCTCCTGGTGCTTTGGAAAATAGTTTGAACCCCTTGTCTTTGTAGGAGACCCTCAAATCCTAGAAGACTGCTATCACATCACCCCTAGTCCTTCTTTTAATTAAACCAGACACAACTGTTCTTTTTGCATGTTTGTATCTTCCAGTCCCCTAACCATCTTTGTTGCTCTTCTCTGCACTCTTTCCAGAGTCTCAACACCTTTTTTGTGTTGTGATGACCGGAACTGGATGCAGTATTCCAGGTCTTGACTTACAACCGTTTTGTTTAGCAACTGTTGGAAGTTACAACGGCACTGAAAAAAGTGACTCACTATGATCGCTTTTCACACTTACAACCATTGCAGCATTCCCCAGGGGCATGTGATCAAAAATTCAGACACTTGGCAACTGACTCAAATCTATGACGGTCACAGTGTCCTGGGGTTATGTGATCCTCTTTTGCAACCTTTTGACAAGCAAAGTCAGAGGGGAGGCCAGATTCACCGAGCAACTGTGTTATTAACTTAGCAACTGAAGTGCTTCCCTTAACAACTCCGGCAGGAGAGATTGTAAAACGGGGCAAAACTCGCTTAATGACTGTCTCATTTAGCCACAGAAATTTGGGGCTCCATCGCCATCGTAACCCGAGGACTACCAGTTAATTCAAATAATGCCAGGGTGGAAGAACAGTTGGATTTCCTGACTGCAGAGCCATCTTTATTTATTTTTTTAATGGAGCATTATTCTCTTCCTTCTTTTCATTTTAACATCAAGCAGAAAGCCAGAGCTCTGAGAGAAAAATCGAGGGTTCAAAAAAAAAACCAGGAGTTGGATACTCCTTGGTGCAAAGTAGGTGTTAAACACCCGCTGCCCCATCTGGGCTGGGTGCTCTTAACACCCAGCCAGGAATCTGCCTCTCCACTTAATGGTGTTGATTAATAAGATGGAAAGTTAATGAAGCATCTTCAATTATTTGCAAGAATTAATTCCCTGGGACTCCTTTTCCAGAGCGAGCTTGTTTCAGAGTGTGCAGATTCGGAGAGTGATTTGTTTTTGCATCAAACGGAGACTGGATTGCATTTTTCCTCCACTATCCCATCGGTCCATCGGTCCAAGAGGCAACTGGACTGTCTGGTTTTTCTTTAAAGATGTTTCGCTCCTCGTCCAAGAAGCTTCTTCAGTTCAGAGCTCAGAACTGAAGAAGCTTTTTGGATGAGAAGCGAAACATCTTCAAAAGGAAAAAAAACCAGGAAGTCCAGTTGCCTCTTGGAAAAAAAAAAAAAATCTTTGGGACAACCAGAATCTCCATAGCCGTTTTCCTCCACTACAAAATTTTAGGATAAGGCCTAATTTTGGCGGGGAAATGACAAAAAGTTCTGCCTTTTCATAACATGGGTTGATGGGGACATTTAATTTTATTTGATCCTGGGTAGATCAAAGATCGTATGTTGCGACGATTTGTGGTAAATAGGAAACCGTTGTATTTCTGCGAGTAAAATACAATACAGGTAGTCCTCAACTTACGACCACAATTGAGCGCAAGGTGTGTACTGCTAAGGGAGGAATTTGTTAAGTGAGTTTTGTCCCATTTTACGACTTTTCTGGCCACCTTTGTTAAGTGAATCCCTGCGGTTGTTGAATTAGTAAAACGGTTGTTCAGTGAAACCGGCTTCCCCATTGACTCGACTTGTCAGAAGGAAGGTCATAAAATGGAAGCAAAACTCACTTAACGACTGCCTTGCTTAGCAACGGAGATGTTGGGCTCAGCTGTGCCCATAAATCGAGGACTTATCTGTACAGTTGAGTTGGTGGGAAGGCCCTGTCTCCTTGTGAAAAGAAGCTGTTCATGGCGGCTTCCTCCAAATGACAATTCCCAGTGTCCTTTCGAGGAGCTTGCGATGGGCGTTGTGGTGTGTGTGTTGTGGCCTGCCGGTGGCTGATGGACCTGGCAGCAGAGTTGGACGGTAGCGAGGAGGTTGGGGAGGAACCTGGGACAGTCTTGGAGGCTAAGGAAGGCTTGGATGAGGGCTCTGCATCGGAGGCAGAGATGGGGCCAGGGCAGGCTGGCAGTCACCAGCTGCCTTCGGGCTCAGACAGCAGTGAGGCAGGGGAGCTTCTGGAGGCGGTTCCCAGCCTGCGCATACACAAAGGTAGCAGAAGACAAGAACAATTGAGAAAGCAGAGTCGACTCCAGAGTAAGGCCACACCTCAGGGATGACTGGCCCCTTCCATAAGACATAAAAGGGGACGTGAGCCTTTGCAGGAAGCAATTAGTTCATCCGGTCAGTTCAAGTTTTGAAAAGTTCTATTTGACTCCGTGTCAAGTTTGGCCTTGCCCTACGCCTGCAATTCGTTCTCTGGCAGCATTCCAAGTTTGATAAGGTGGGTGTTTATCAACATTCCCCTGAAAGGCTGTTTGCCAAGCCTTGCGGGCTGTGAATGAACGTAATTCACAGCCGTTGAAATAAAAGAGGTTTTGCCAGAACTAAGATTGTGTTTTATGCTTTCTAAGGAAGCCTAGGTTAGAACAGTTTGTTCTGAATCCCAGACCTATCAACTCTGAACCTTTTAAGCCCAGCCAAAGACATGTTACAGATGCTTCCCCGTAGCACCCCAAGCACAGGGTGTTGTTACCTGCTTGGACATGGAGTCAATGAGTCGTACGTAGAGATCTTGCTCAGTTCGAAGCCCTGGGAAAAAGCAAAGTTAGTTTAGAATAGCGTATCTCAACTTGGCGACTTGAAGATGGATGGACTTCAACTCCCAGAATTCCCACGCCAGCCCTGCTGGCTGGGAAATTCTGAGAGTTGAAGTCCACCTCTCTTCAAATTGTCAAGGCTGAGAATCACGGCACAGCAGCTCAAGACAACCATCCCTTTTCTTTTTTAATGCTCACAACAACCCTGCAAGTTAAGTCTCCATGGTGTTTAACCCTCTGACTCCCCAGCCTGGGTCTACACCAATGGGTTTCAAACTGGGACATTGGAAGACACGTCAACTTCCGCTCCCAGAATTCCCTAACCAGGATTCCAGGCTGGGGAATTCTAAGAGTTGAAGTTCTCTTTTTGTAAAGTGGCCACATTTGGGGGAAAGGTTCTAAAAGTTTAAAAACTGGACTGAAGGTCTATTATAACTTGGCATTCAATGGTGCAAAATGTTGTTTTTTTTAAGAAGATGAGCGAGCTGTGAAAAGCAACCAAGATAACGCAAGCAGGGATGCAGAACTGTTTTGGCTTGCTTTGAAAACAGAATAAGCGAGTAACAGAATTGGAAGGGACCTTGGAGGTCTTCTAGCCCAACCCCCTGCTCAAGGAGGAGACCCTGGCCTAGACCATTCCAAATAAATGGCTGTCCAATTTCTTCTTTAAAACCCCCAGTGTTGGAGCACGCAAAGCTTCTGGTAGCAAGCTGTTCCACCGGTTAATTGTTTCTCACTGTCAGGAAATTTCTCCTTAGTTCTAGATTGCTTTTCTCCATTCATTGTTTCTTAACCTGCCTTCCAGTGCTTTGGAGAATGGCTTGACTCCCTCTTCTTTGTGGTAGCCCCTCAAATATTGGAACACTGCTACCACGTCATCGCTAGTCCTCTTCTTTATTAAACTGGCCGTACTCCTGCAATCGTTCTTCATACGTTTTACCCTCCAGTCTCCTAATCCTCTTGGTTGCACTCTTTCTCAAGGCCTAGATAGGTTTCTTACAAATGCTTTAGACCAGGGGTCTCCAACCTCGGCAACTTTAAGACTTGTGGACTTCAACTCCCAGAATTCCTCAGCCAGCTCTGCCTTGACAGTCAAACTGAAGCCAACATCTCAGCCCTGTCCTTGGCTGGCTGAGGAATTCCGGGAGTTGAAGTCCACAAGTCTTAAAGTTGCCAAGGTTGGAGACCCCTGCTTTAGACAAGCTTTACTTCGAATTTTGCAAGAATTCCAGAGTTTGCTTAAAAGAGGAGACCCCAAGTGCTGACCTCCAGCCCTGTGGGATGAGTTGAGGAGGGGGGGGGGGGCGTGTCCTTTCTTCAACTGCCTGCAAATATACCTTGCAAACTTCTGAAGCCACCATGAACTGTATTGACTGCAGGTGAACTCTATCCTAACTATTTGACTGCAGGTGGAAGGCCAAGACAAAAGTTGGATGAGCAAATGTATCTCAGAAGCTCCCATCTTCTGAGTAGTCTTCACCACAGCGCGGAACTCAAGTGGTGGGGTCCTTACCGTTACTGTACAGCAACTGCAGCCGGTAGTGAATGCCGTTGTTGGTTTTCTCTCCGTTCTGCTCCTGTCAGGAGGAATGAAAAAAGCCACACAATGGATATTTTCCTCCTGGTGTTCCTCAGGGACACGTTCAACCAGGAACGGCAGGCAAGTGGGGGATGCTTTTTCTTGGGAGATACAAGAAGCTGGAAGGGGAGTGGATAAACTGGGATTGTCTCCTGCTTTCTGGGTCTTGGGGAAATCCCTGGTCTTCCTTTTGCCAAGATGGGGAGTTTGGGAAAAGAAGAGGGCGGGGGTGTCTATTTCTGAAAGTGCCTCTTGCAGAAATTAGCCTGGGGTGCAACCATCCTCTTCTTCTTCTTCCTCTTTTCTACCTCCTTCTCTTACCTTGACATCCTGTCCAGGCTGACTCATTCCTGAGCCCCCCTCCCCAGTCTCTCACTCACTTTGTCTTTTTCTTTGTCTCTTTCTTTCTCTTTCCCTCTCTCTTCTCTTTCTTTTTCTTCTTTCTCTTTCTCTCTCTCCTTTCTTTTTTTCCTCTCTCTCTATTTTCTTCTTTCTTTCTCTTTATTTCCTTTTCTCTTTTCCTTTCTTTTTCCTTCTTTCCTTTCTCTCTCTCCTTCCTTCCTCTCTCTCTTTCTTTCTTTCTTTCTCTCCTTTTCTCTTTTCCTTTCTTTTTCCTTCTTTCCTTTCTCTCTCTCCTTCCTTCCTCTCTCTCTCTCTCTCTCTCTTTCTTTCTTTCTTTCTCTCTCTCTCTCTTTCCTCCTTCCTTTTTCTTATCTACCTCTGTGTGTGTGTGTGCGCGCGCGCGCGCATGTCTATAATCTATGTGTGTGTGTGAAAATCTAGATGGCACTCCTCAAATATGCCCTCAGTGCCCTACAAATGTCGTCTTTATCAGATGAGGATTTTAACCCAGAGACCATCTTAACTGTATGGAAAACTAGATTTCTAGCATGGAGTGGAGGTATCATAGTTGATAGTTTTAAATAGCCATTTATACTGCACTAAGCAGCTAGTTTGACAGAGTGAGCAGAGAAGGAGAAAAGGGCCGTTTTAATCAAAGGGATTTTGCTGAGCTTTGTTTCTACTTGAAAACAGATTCTGGACTTTTTGTAAGAAACTGAAAAAAATGGAACTTGGATATTGATGACTACAATGGTTTTGTTATTATAGGAATAGTTTAAAAATTTGTGAAGTGTAAAACAAAATGTTACGGTTGTGGGGGGTTTTGCATTTTACTGGGCTGAAAAAGTCAGGAGTCATGTTTTTTATCTCTCTCTCACTTTCTCTGGGTTTTCTAATGTTTGGGTTTATTTGTATTTATATCTTGGAATGACACTTAATAAAATGTATTTAAAATATTAACCTGGTAGCTTTGGGTGAAGGCTTAATGAAGAAGAATTTTCACTTTCTTTTTTTAAAAAAATAGGTATAGTTTATAATAAGTCATAATGATATTTTGCAGCAAAATTCCCTTTATGCTATTTGAGATTCTCGGGTATTCCTGCTTGCCACTTATTCCTGGTTATTTTTTTCTTTTATATGCTGGGTCTCCTGTGGCTTATCTTTTCCTTCCTTCCCCCCACCCGCCCCCCACACAAATGTTCAATAATAAAATAAATACATGAATGAAAAAAGCGCTCAGGGAGCCATCAAGGATATTTTCAATTTTACTCCAACAACCGTCTAGCTCTGCTGCATTCTGATGACTGCTGGGGGAAAAAATATCGAAATAACTGCAACTGGAAGGGTTGGAGGATATTCTATCCTGACTATTTCCTGTGCGTGTGTGTGTGTGTGTGTTGTGTGTGCGCGCGTTTGGGGAGACATTTGCAAAAACCAAGCATGGGTTTGGACCTTACTCTGTCCTTCTCCACAAAGTCGATGAAAGACGTCCTCTCGATCTCCACTGGCTGTCCATGGCGGTCGTACATTGCAAGCACGAAGTGGAAAAAGTTGGATTTCCTGAGGTTAGATGGTGGCTGTTTTTCAAAGTGGGCCCGAGCCAGCCCAATACCACTGTGGGAGGGAGAAAAAAGGAGAAAAAAAGGTGTTTAAGCAGCTGCATAAGCGCACCAACGTGCCTACCGTCCCTGTCCCATTGTTTCTTTTATATTTTTTTTAATTTTTCTTATATGTATCAATGTATTCATAACTATGTTTTTACTTATACCTATTATCTTGCAAGCAATTGACAAATAAAAATAAATAAAAAAATCTGCAGGGGCTGAGCTCATCCTCCCTTTCTATGCCAAATATATATATATATAGAATAACAGAGTCATAGAATAGCAGAACAACAGAGAAACAGAATAATGGAATAGAGTAACAAATAACAGAGTAGCAGGAGTAGCAACAGAGTACAGAACAACAGAACAGCAGGTAATAGAATAACAGAACAATAGAGTTACAAATAACAGAGCGGCAGAAAACAGAATAGTGGAATAACAGAATACCAGCGTAACAGAGTAACAGAATTGCAGAATAACAGAGCAACAAATAACAGAATAGCAGAAAACAGAGTAGCAGAATAATAGTATAGCAGAATAACAGAATAACAGAATAGCAGAATAACCAACTAACAGAATGACAAATAAAAGAATAGCAGAATAACAGAATAACGGAATAACAGAATAACAGAATAACAGAATAGCAGAATAACAGAATAGCAGAATAACCAACTAACAGAATAACCAATAAAAGAATAGCAGAAAAATACAGAATAGAAGAATAACAATTCAAAAGGTTGGAAGGGACCTGGAGGTCTTCCAGTCTATTTTCTTCCGCCGGTAATCTTTGACATACAACCACAATGGAGTCTGCCCATGTTACCTAGTTAGGTCATGAAATGTCTGCAAGAAAAGAACCAGGCCCAGAGAGCAAACAACAAGGACCTCGCAGCTCCAAAGGAGTTTCCAATCTTGGAGCGTTGAGAGTTTCAATCCAGAGAAACCCCTAAAGGACATTGGGGTAGGCAGGTTTGTCCCGTTGCTCTTTTTTCCCCCCCTGTTTGGTGGAGAGGCTTCCTCTGAAAGTTCCCACATAGCCATTTGCAGGGGGGGAAAAAAATCCAATGTTTCTTATTTACACACCAGGTTTCGTTCCTCTGAATGGCATCCTTTTGGGCGCACAACATTGTGCCTTCCGTTATAGCAGAGGGCAAAATCCACACCACATTTAACAACTTGGCCATGGGTAGCTTGAGGAGGACAAATTCTCTGTATCCTCCCTCCAAATGCAACTTCATCTACAGGTAGTCCTCGCCTTACGACTACAATTGAACCCGACATTGGTGTTGCTAAGCGACACGCTTGGCCAATGTGTTTTGTCCCATTTTAGGACCTTTCCTGCCATCGTTGTTAAATGAAACCCTGCAGCTGTTAAAGTTAGTGACATGACTGTTGAGTGAATATGGCTTCCTTTGCTTGTCAGAAAGTCACAAAAGGGGATCACATGATCCCTGCACAGTGCAACCATGATCACGTGACCACGGGGACGCTGCAACAGTTGTAAGTATGAAAAATGGTCATAAGTCACTTTTTTTTCCAGTGCTCTTGTAACTTTGAATGGTCATTAAATTGTCACTAAATGAACAGTTATATTTTTAGGCCTGGCTCTGTATTTGTCAAGCCTGGAACTGCAGATTTTCTGCAAAGAAAGCAACTGTTGGGGATATAATAATCTCTGCCATAGTTGGGAAACGACCACTGTGAGCATTACAATCCAGACAACAAATGCTTTAAACTCCTGGGAACTATAATCAACATTTTAGACACCTGGACTTGTACAGAAATGAAAAAAGCAGGAATTTCAGCCGCTTTGCAACTTGGCAAAGGTAATATTAGATATAAAGGAAATTTACTGCATTGGTTTCATTTATTTGGGGAATTAAAGTACAATGCCAATCTGCAAAACCCATCTGTGAGAGGGCGGGGGGGCGGGGGGGAATCATAAATGAAGGAGAAATTTTAGGAGATTAAAGGAAACCTGAGACAGACCCAGCTGTAGGAAACAGCTGTCTGGAAACCCAAAACCCAACTGGGGCCTGGTACAGGTAGTCCTCGACTTACGACCACAATTGAGCCCAAAATTCATGTTGGGTAAGCGAGATAGTTGTTAAATGAATTTTTCCCTATTTGATAACCTTTCTTGCCGCTGTTATTAAGCGAATCACTGCAGCTATTAAGTTAGTAACCTGGTTGTTAAGTGAATCCGGCTTTCCGATTGCCTTTGCTTGTCAGAAGGTCGTAAAAGAGGAGCATGTGACACTGCAACCGTCATAAATATGAGTCAGCTGGCAAGCATCCAAATTCTGAACCTGTGACCGCGGGAATGCTGCAACGGTCATAAGTGTGTAAAAACGGGCCCTAAGTCGCTTTTTTTCAGGGATGCTGTAACTTTGAAGGCTCACAAAATGAACCCTTGTAAGGACTGCCTGTAGTTGTCTTTGAAAGGCTACATATAAATTTTCTAAACAATTAAATAAATAAAATGTCAACCAGCCCAACTTGTAGAGAGGTTGATGCCTAATAAAAGCCTTCAAACCTGAACCCCGCAACACGAGAAACAGACCCCAAAAGAGATGAAGAAAAATGAAAAAGATAAAATTCCTCTGGGATTTTAGAATCCAGACAGACAAGCTCCTGCCACAAAACACTCCAGACTTAACCATTGTTGATTAGAAAGACACACACACACATACACACAAGTCTGGATAACGGACGTGACAGTAGCAAGAGACAGCAGAATAGAAGAGAAAGAACTGGAGAAAGTAACAAAATTCAGAGACTCAGGCAAAAGCAAGCAAAGGTGCTACCAGTAATAATAGGTGCCTTGGATGCAATCCCAGAAGCAACTGGAGCACTCCTTGAAACACCGTTGGCATTGACAAACTCACCACCTGTCAATTGCAAAAGGCACTTTGGCTTGGAACAGCTGACATCCGTTGACATACCTTTTGTTAACTCAAACAAGCACATCTACCTATCCCAGGTCCTTGGGAAGGACTCCGTTGGTGGGTAAAAATGCCAAACACAGTCCAAACATCTGGCTGACTGTGTGACCAACCATGGTAAATATTATTCAGATTATTCAAGGAGGAAGAGCGGGGGAGGGAGGAAGGAAGGAGAGAAGGAGGAGAGGAGATAGATGG